TTTATAAGCAACAGTTTGCTGTAGCAAGGTATTTAGTCTGTAAATAATAATCATACCCTGCTACAGCAAATATTTTTTCTTTGTGGATTTAACTCAATGAAAAACAAACAGCAATGCCAATAGTATATTTATTTCACAAAATAAAAGTCGGACAATACATAACTACATTTTAAAAAACACACAACCACCTAAAAAAGTACTTTGCAGTCCGAATGTAACCGGAGCAGCTCCGGGCGTGGCTCTCCAGGGGAGAGTGCGGTCGGGAGTCACAGCGGAAAGACCGAAAACGGGTGCGGAGTGGGGTGGAGCCAAACCAAATCGTGTAGGTGGAAAAATGCTGCTGCAGCGGGAGGGGTTCCCAGCAGCTCAGCTGAATGAATGAATGAATGAATGAATGAATGAATGAATGCTCGGCACAAGGCCAGATCGTAATAAATAAAAGTCTAGTACACCATACTGGTTCAGAGCGGGTCTCAATATCGTAATGATTACGGTGAGATCGTAATGGTTGGCACCTCTGGATGTTCATCAAAAACATGAATTATTTTTAGAGTGAACCATTAGAAGATGGCAAATAAATGTTGGTTGATTAGCTGAGAGTCTTCCCCAACACATACTGTGAGTACTAAACCATGCACAACAGCTTTGAATAAAACATTAGCATAACTTGCTAGCATCATATGTCTGTCTGTTAGCAAACTATCTAATAAACCAGTGGACCACTTTGAACGAAACTCTCAAAGTGATTACTGAATGTACAGAAACAGAAGCAACCACTGATGTTCATTTGTTCATTTTAAGTATTTTTTTATTAATTTTGCCAGTTTCATATTATTTTAGTGATCTTTGAGAGTTTGATTTTCTTTACTAAAAAAAGGACTAATGCATCTGATGTTTAAAAGATAATTACCGTGACAGTTTTTGCGTCCAGCTCTGTGAAAATAAACTCTCCTCCTTCAAAGTCATCGTTCAGATATAGGATGGCGCTGCAGGAGACACATCAGGATGTTAGAGGTGGGTTGTCAGAACCATCACAGTGTTTCTCTGTGTTTGTGTGACATCACCTGTAATCTCTGTACGTATACGCAGGGGGTTCTTTGATACACTGGTTTAATTCAGAAATCAGCACACAGTTGTCCACATGAACAGGGTGGCTCAGGTTGTCTCGGTTCTCCTGCTTCTCTGAAACAGCAGAAGCACAGAGAGAAGTTGAACATTACCATAGTTTTCAGTTCTACAGAACACCATCAGCATTTAGAGACCTCAGGGTCTCAACTCTGCTGTTTGCAGAGGATGTAATTCTGAGTGTGCTCAACCAGACAAAGGTGGGGAGCTCTCTCCATGATGACTACAGCATGCTTCAAAAAATTAATTTTTTGACAAATTTTTTGTATTTTGCTGCCATCCAGTGGCCAAAACTATTAACACAAGTTTGAATGAATGTAATAAAAAAAACAGTTGTCCTGTTTTTAATGTGCAGGTTGACTTCACGTCAAGCTTGGGTCCGCTACCAGAGGTCTGGGAGTTCTGCAGATGTCATGGAACACCAGAACCAGGTGTCTGGAATCAGGATCCTCTGTGCTGGGTCTGAACTGGAGGTCCCACAAAGAGGACTCCACCAAACCTGATGGAGGTAGGACTAAACTCTGTGGGACTCCAGATTCAGACTGGCAAACAGGTGAAACCTTTCTCCCACCACATGTAGAAGTTTAAAATGACTCTGGTCACTAAAGGGTCAATGGTCCCTATGATAGAAATAACAGGGCCTTTTTGTTCATCCCTTTACTTACTGGTCTTACCGTCAATGGCAGAACGGCAGACCAGGTGAGAGTAGGAGAAGTAGAGCGGAGAGTCCAGACCGAAGTATGACTCCAGAACCTTCCTCACTTTCTCACTGAGGTCAAAGAACAAACGAGCACTCTTCAGAGRGACCCTCCCCTCCTGTCCGAGCTGTGGGACACGGAGACACGAGTTAACAGCTGATCGCCTCTGTGTCAAGTTTTTTTATTACAGCATTTTAACTCCAAWAAGTTTATTAAAGCATTATGTGTTACTATACACTGTTTTTGTCTGTCAGCACAATACCTTACGAACCACTAAACAAATTTAAATTAAAGCCTGAAAAGCTAATATTGACGCACATAGATCTACAGCTCATTGGCTTTTGGTTTTCCAAACTTACAGGAGCAGAAATTAACCAAGAACTGGGATTAAAATGGAAAAAATACTAGCCAGAAGTTTAATTTATGCCTAAATTAGATTCTGTTTATTTTTATCAAGTTATTATGTTTATATGAATTTATAATATGTCAACAATGTACATCCTGATTTTTGGCAGATATTCTCAGTCCGGAGCTTCAAGAGGAACCTGCAAGAAACTTTAAGTCATTTATTATATTCATTAACTGTGTGAATAAACAGGAGTTTTATTGGTTAGCACTTTAACTTGTGATATATGATTGAAACCGACGTTGACAACTGAAATAAAAACTARACCTAGCTGAATGAATCTTTTATCAAATAGTTTTCTTTTCCTGCTTTTACTCAAATCATATCAATTCAATCATTTCCTTTATCTTAGTTTTAATGTAAGCTCGTGGCTTCAGCTCAATGCTACAAACCTTGACAGCCTTTAGGATGGTAACCCCCTGGAACATCTCGCTGGGCGTGTGTGGAGATGGCTGCCCGCTGTAGCCGTCTCCTTTCAGAGCAGCCGCCTGCGGAACGGTCACATTGGCAAGACAAGATGACACAAACACACAAACAGAAAAACAACAACGCTCAGTGACAGGAGAAAGAGGGGACTGACGTTGGAGAGGCGCTGCAGCTCCCTGCATTCATCATCGCTGATCACACCATCCAGCAGCACGCGCTGCGAGCCATTCAGCTGCTCCGACGTCATGGTCACCTTGATGTCATCGTACATTGGAGCGTCACCTGCAAGGTGCAGCTTAGAGTCAAATTGAGAGCTTCCTGTGTCAATGCTGAGGCAGCATTCACTCACTCAATGGGCCTCATGCAAGAACATGTTCGTATTCTTCTCCTAAATTTCTCTTACTTTTGTTCGTACAAAGGG